TTTTTCTCTAGGGAGAAGGGAGGCCACAGTAATATTCTGGTATTCAAAAGAATACATCAGATGGACTTGCAAATTCAGGAGCTAATTACTTTTAAGATGATCTCAGGAAAAATTAAGGTGACATATAGAAGTGGGGTGTCTAATATCATTATGATTCCACAATTCCTTTGCAAAACAAGTATGGTTTATATGTAATTTAAAAAAATGTATGTTTCTTACCTGCCTTCTAAACATACACATATTTATTTAAACATCTTTATGTATGTTTTCACCCTCTTAGATACTTCATACTTACATATCTATGCTATTCTTTTTCAAAGCACTGTTGGTTGTTTCGTTTTTATAGAGATCACAAGTCCACTTGATATTAGTGACTTATACTTTCCTCTGCTTTGTGAGTGTAGGTAATAGCCTTTTTGTATACCAATTTGCTTACACTGCAGTTTATGCTGGTAGTACTGTACATTGCCTGACCTCTGAATGGAAAAATAATAACAAGTTAAAACAGTCATTTTACCTGAAGTCGATAAGGCCATAACACTCACCCTGTTTTCAATTCACATGCTCAATTTTCATCCACTCACTCTCGACTTTGAGAGGAAGGAATAATGACAGGTTACAGGCACTTTATTTCAAAATTCACTCACAAAGTTATTGACAAGCATTTTTCACAGAAACAGCTCTTCTCTCTGACCCTCGTGAGCTGTTTACATGAAAAATGCTCTTCCTTGTAGATTAATGAGAGTGGAACCTAATTCCATACCAAACATGTAGCAATTGCCTTAGCATCTCTGTTTTTGATATGGGAACAAAAGTAGGGATAATTTGCCTCAAATTGCAGTCGCTTCAGTCATAATAAAATCTCAGAGAGTACTGTTTGCTTTCAACTTTCATTAGGTAAGCTGGGTCTGTTATTAAGGTACCAACACATAAATGTTATATTAGCACTTAACAGAAGCATGGCATTCTCCTCTAGGAGATAAATTCTACCCTTGTCAATATAATTCCACACTGAATGCAGTAAAAGAGTTGGAAAAGATGAAATAGTGAAGCTTTGCACACAAAAAAGAAATTCCTTGTTCATTCAAGCTTAAAGGCCATTTTGTTGGCCCAAGGTACTAGGGTACTGTTTAGAAAATAAGTCTAAGAGAAACTCTCTCAGGTCAAGTCAAACATGGAGACAAACTTTCAGACACGTTCTCTTTGTCTGAGGTTGTTAAATCAGTTACTTTAAATTTCTGCATGCCTTCAACTGGCATTTCAACTGTGAAGAGATAATAACAATTTAGGGTTAAGATGGAGTTTATTTCCAGACTTCAAATGATAAACTTTGTGTGTGAATCACTGTATATACAATACCCACACATTTTAATTTTTTCTTAGGATGCTAAGCCCTTTTAAAATGTAAGGTATTATGTATAGAATTGTGATGGAGCTGCTGAAATTAAATCTTTGTTTATCCTTACTCTTATCACTACATTTTTTAGATACTCATAAAATAACTATCTCCAATTTAAGGCTAAGAAAAGTGCTGCCCCACTTAACAGTATGAGGGCTATTTAATCTACAATGGAAGAAAAGGAAGGAAAGGGGCATCCAAGAGCTTGGCTATTGCTAGGCCTAACTTTTATCTTTATTCCTAGCTTGTCAGGTTTTTATCTTGCCATCATTTGACAATTGTAAGGTCTTTTAGTGAATCTATTGTCAACTGGATTATTTAATAGTCTTAATTGCATGAAATTGTCTATTTTAATTACCATAATAATAGTCAAGACTAAAATGTTTTTCAGGTGACATGTGAAATATCAAAAAGACTAATGTTTCTCTGCATTTCTAAGACATATAATCATATGAAATAGCAGCATACGGCATCTGATTCTATCTAAAGATGCTGGTGAAGACTGTTTAGCTTAAAGTTATACTCATAGAGTTGATTGTATTCATATTTGCCAATGAATGCTACTATTCCACTAAACTAGGAAATAAATAA